GCACGTGTTTGTAGAAGTTACAAAGGAGGCTTCGTAATTTTCTGGGTTTTTGAGCGGGTATTCGTTCACGTAAGGTTCAGTCGGAGACCTCGTGCCGAGGCCTGGTCGCTAGTCTTGGAAGAACATGCTGGAATTAATGTGATCAATAAGGGTATCAGATAAAGAGGAATGATGAAAAGGAATAAAAAGAGAATAGTGTACCAACAGATTATATGCAGTTTTGGGAGGTGCAGCAATCCTAATCAGTGTATCTACTTTGTTTTTGTGACTACTAATCTGATTAACTTAGTGCTTTATTTGAAAGTAATTCCTCCTTGTCTTATCCCTTCTTTTTAAAAAATTAATTATTAAGGGAAAACCTCTGATAGTGGTTCATTTCCGTAAGTTCTTATTTTGGCAATTACTCTCCAATATTCTGATTTTAGGTCGCACTTGTGGAGCTGCAGTATGATCACAGTACACCGCATTTTCTGCTGATTATCCTTGGTGTAGTGACCACCCTTCTGGTTTCTGTTCATCTACTAGCCCTTATGATGTCAACATGCATACTGCCATATATGGAAGCTACCGGTTGCACCCAGGACTCACCGCATATTCGATTAAAGTCAGTTCTGTTTTGTCCTTCTTTGTTGATCAATTGGAAAATGCTGCTTGGATTGCATGTAACCTTTGCTAATAAGAAGTTATCTGAACAATAGACGACATCCATAGATATCTACGCTAATCTGAAATCTTGAGCGTATTCCCATTGTTTGTTGATTTAGAAGAACAGCGAGGACTGATTAAGATCCCACGAAATCTTCCATACAGTTGCATTTTTTTTGCAATGTGATGTTATAGACTTTCATTTTGGTATATATTACCTCACTTGGATAACGGAGCTCTTCGAAAATCTATTCTGTGATGGAAAATCTCAGTTTTTGTTTGACGGGCATCCTCTTTAAGACATTGAATCCACCCTGAATATTTGAGCTCATGGAAATTAGTAGCTACTATGCTTATATAGAGATAATGGCACCATATTTATATTCAAAATAGTAAATGTGTGTCATCTTTTTCTAGTCTGGGAGGATGAAGCTAAAAAAAGTGTATTCGAAAGCTTGCTTTTTTATAAATCATCGTTTGGAATTGCAAATTATTTGCAAAAATCCAATGAGATAATATTATTTAAAAATAGCTTTTAAATTTTTATTTTACAGGAAGTTTGTTTTGCTCTCTTTCAGAATATTTCTCTTTTAAAAGTCTTGCCGAAAGGCATAGGATCTCTACATTAATTTCATAGCTGTCTATTATTCGAATTTGAATATGAACATAATATGTACAGTGAAAAATCGTAATCCTAGTCTACATCAATCATTT